TGTATTTCATACTCTTAAATTGTTAATTTTTTTTAGAGATGTGAATGTACTTTGTTTTTATAATCATTTAATTTTTTCGGAGCTGTAAATCTACATTTCTGCGGTATGACAAGTGTAAAGTCTGTTAAAAGATAAAGTATTATCACTCCAGTATTGTACGTTGCCTGAAACTTGAAGTTTTTGGCTTGATACTTGTGACTTGCATATATATGTGACGTACTCACACCTCTGGCAAAAACTGTTGAAAAAATTTCCAAATAAAGGGTCAGCATGGGGTCAAAGAATCACATTTTGGAGTGGTTCCTCATCTAATTTAGGATTGTTTAAGGTGTGGCGGTGATCTACATTCTACATAGTGCCATTATTGTGAGCACCATACATTGATTAGGTCAAAAGTAATTCCATACTGTTGAGTACGAGAGTAAGCAAAAAAACATAAAATAACATGTTTATTGTGTTGCTTTTAATGAAGTTGTATAGCGGTGTGCCTTTTACAGGCTCCATATTACATTGGTCCCAGCGGGTGCAAATATTGAACCGTTGCCGTCTTCTTATGTTGATCAATGTCCTGACAAATTCAAATGATTCGGTTCATTTCAGGAAATGAATATTTGCCGGGCGTATGGGGAACGGAGGGTGGGATGTGGTTTATGAACAAGCTGGTCAGGGATCAGCAGATTGATTCCGAGCAGCTCGGATGTTGCTTAATTGGGATTCACCTGAGTGGGACTGTTTTGCCTCTTGCTCACTATTTCGACAGACATGACGTGAAATGGCGAAAGTGCACTGTTTTATCAAGGTCAGTCACATTTACCATGTTTGTCTTCTCATCTGCAGTGCTTCAGTGACTGATAAAGTCAAGATGTCCCTGTTGAAAAAGCGAGGGAGCCGTGACTGAAGTAGGAATTAAAAAAATAATTTTATCTTGCATTAAATTGGAGGACAAGTAAGCAAGTAATAACTGAATCGATAACCAACTGAATTGTTAATCATGGAGTAAAATATCTTTGTGTAAAAATACATTGATTGGTACATTGTGCAGCGACTGTCTTGAACCATATACCTAACCTCAGTTTAAGCTTAAGCATTTGCAATCATTGCAGCCTATTATGATGAACTATTAGATGTGTCAAAAAATGTGTTTTTTTTTAATTTAGTTTTCACTGACAATGTCAGAGATGTATTAATTTACAAAGTTGTTTACTATCATATTGTTGAGCTCTCAAAATTATGTCTTAGTTCTATATCAATGCAAAGTAGAATCATAATAATACACATATTGTAAATTGAACAGCTCTCTGACATAGTTGTTTTTGTTCAGGCATGTGTAGCTTCTTTCAACTTCCAAAAGGGTAAGACTTGGTATTCAAGGCTGGTTATGAAATGCAAAAATAATGACTTGGGAGTCCAAGAGTGCACCATTATCAGTAGACTTCCAAATAATTTAGCTCTCTGTCAACTTTGGGGGGAGGGGGTGTTGCGCCTAAACACTACAATTTGGGAGCATTATTCTAAGTTGTGTCCACAAATCTCACTTCTCTGCTGGGAGCTTTTAGCACTCAGCACAGCATTGACAGCTCCTCTGGTTCTCCTCCCAGCTGACGAGGACTGGCAGTGCACGTCTCACCCAATTAGACCTGACGTGGTCCGACCCGCAGAGCCCAGTCGTTTGTTGGCAGAGCAGACTCTGACCTCTGAGCCTGCAAGTGCTTTGCCAATATGAGGGCTGTCTGTCTCTGGCTGAGGGAATTTACATCAAACACCACACTTGTGAAAATTGATAAGTGATGGGGTTTTTTTTTTGTTTTTTTTTTCTTTTTACTTCCCTCAGTCCTCCCTCCCCACTCATTATAATGCAAGCGTTGAACAGGCGAGTACTGCAGAACTCACAAAGCAATCCGCATTTTATATCGTTTTAATTGTAAACTACTGGAACAGAACGAAATAGATTTTTTTTTTTAATTTAAAGACCACATGTCACTTCTGTGCTTACCTGTCACTTGATGATCATATAAAGCAGCAGCTTGGCAGTATTTCTATTAAGCACTTAAGCCTTTTAAAAGGAAATCAAAGACCCATTAACAGTATTCTGTCACCACACTACTCGTAGTAATTCTTTACTGAACTCTGACCTGGGCTGTACTCTGTCTCTCTTGAGCTTTAATGGTCATGACTTTACTGCCGCACATACAAGCACACACACGGCCATTGCTCACAGCTTCACACACTGAGATCAATGCTAGTAGAGTGATCATCTCCCTCTTGATAGAGGGCAAAAGCCTTCACTTGACACAAGGAAAGAATGACAGCAGATAGAGAGGATGCCGCAGAAGGAGATGGATAAAGTGAGACAGTGAGAAAATAATACCAAGACTGGAAAAAAAAAAAAAAAGACGGCCAAACTCAGGTTAGGACACGGATTCTCTCAGCTGGAGTGACATCTATATCTTTCTGTCTTTATCGACAAGAGACTTAACTAAGAGTTCTCTTGTCAGGGCTGTGATTGACTGACCGCCCAGCCAATATGAGAAATAGTGGAAAAAGTCAAGGTGCAGGCACAGAAAAAATGTAAAGCATTTCTGTTATTATATCCAGAATGGGTACAGTTTGTCTTTTATAATCATCTGTGGGACCAAATGCACAGCTAAATGCACCACAGAAAACTACATCGACACCAAACTTACAAAATTGGTGTTATCAGGCAGGGCGCAATAATCCAAAATTGGTCAACAGGAAATTTTATATGTTCATCGACACCCACGTATAACAGTTGTGTCTCCGGAGTGCCTACCCCCAACAATTGTGAAATTAAACAACCAAGTAAATCTTTAGTTATCTGCCTATTTCTGAAAATGTGTCTGTGAGCAAGTTGCAGAACTTGTAGCGTTAATTAACTGAACAACTACCCCAACATCGCCACCAAGGTCGTGATCTGGCGGGCCGGCCATTCCAGAGCAAGCAGCCGGCCCCCCTGAAACCGGCGAGCTCCGGCGCATCGATTGTCATTCTAACGAAAGGGTGGGAGGAGGGCAAAGTACAATTCATGAAACCAATTTGCCAATAAAAATGATTTCACCGATGTAAGATGAACTGCACGCTGAAGAATGTGTCCGTAATCCTTGATCTTCGGGATATATTGAGAAAAGAATCCCACTCAAAACTGTGAACTGTTTTACATCGTGATTTCAAAAAAAAAATATAGAGATTTTTTAAAATCTGCATTCTTACTTGGACTGAGCTTTCAACCAAAATGTAGCATGTTCTTCTCGCGCTCATGCTCTGAAAAATGAGGTAGTTCAGTAGCTGTTGATTAATTCTCCCAACTAAGAAGAAATCTTGCAGAGTTCTAGTGGAAAGGTGCTAAAAAGGTGGCACAAAACCTGACTCATGCCAACCTACAAAAAAAACCACACAAGCCGCAGACATGGTGGGTGACAACTCGATGTGGGTAAACAGTTAAGAAGTTGTATCAGGGATATAGTCCGCATGTTGGCCATATATAAGGATTTTGTAATTCATGTTTAAAAAAAAGAGGGGCGGGGGTGAAATGAAACCTGGGCGTTTGTTTAATTCATATTGATTCTCGCTTAATTTCATTGTCCATTAAAGAAATCTCATCCCTCTTTAGAACTCATTTTGACGCTCGGAGGTCAAGGCAAATCTACTTTCATGCCTCATTTAGCTACATCTGTATTAATCGGTGCTGCTGGCAGTGTGTAAACCAGTTCTGTGAGCATTTGCTTTCTCATTCCCTTACATATATTCAGATCAGCCCATCAATCACACACCTCTGCTCAGCTGTCTGCAGTGTGAATCAATGCTAAATCTCCAGGCTTTGCATTGCTGAGTCCAAGCACCACCATTTCCACCACAGAGATCCCCAGCAAATGCAACGCCACCTGCGTCGGGATTCTTCTGTGGGAGACTCACTCAGTGCTGGAAAACAGGCACTGCCGGGGGCTATACACATCCCTGAGGTCAGTCTTTCATTATGGATGATGTTCCTGCCAAATTATTTAGACCCTGAGCCCCAGCAAACCCTATGCCACGTGAAGGCACATTCCGAACAAAACCGACTCACACACACAAACACACTCACATGCACACACGCACACCCATTTTCTAAGGCACCTCTGAATTCTTCCAAGTCCAGAGCTCCACATTAATCCAGTGAGATGTAATCCAAGCAGCAGTTCATTAGTACTGATTCTTTGTTTTTAGGCAAAAGAACTAAACATATACGATTTGCATTGTGTGTGTGTGTGTGTGTGTGTGTGTGTGTGTGTGTGTGTGTTTTTGCTTTGTGTGTGTGTGTGTGTGTGTGTGTGTGTGTGTGTGTGTGTGTGTGTGTGTGTGTGTGTGTGTATGCGTGTGTGTGTGAGCGCGTGTGTGCTTGTGTGTTCTCAAAGTGGTTATCCATGGTCTAAACTGCGGTCAGACATTGACAAGAGACTGATCTGTATTTCTAGCACAGGACTATAAACACATACACACGCACACACACAAACATATATATGACATGCATACACACACATGCAGATACACACACACACACACACACACACACACACACACACACACCACTAAGGTGACCCTGAAGTTAATCTATTAAAATTCATCCCTTCACCTCTATATCTCTGACTACATTTTCTGTTCCTTCCCATTCCTTTGCCGTTACAATAAACTGTCACCCCTCACTAGCCACCCCTTGGGCATCAATTACTTGACCTCTGATTCTAAAATTTTATCCCGTAGGTTTCATGGTGAATTTGCATTCAGGTTTCAGTCACTACCAGAAATTTTTTCCAACAGCGGAAACGGGGAGCAAAAAAAAAAAAAAGCATGGCACCAACAATCTCAGTTGTAGAAATACAATTACAGCAACCAAACAAAGTTAAGGTACCCCCATTACGCATTATTCAATCATTATCATGCAAGCTTGTGAAGGTTTTTCCTCTCATACATCTTCACACTCCCAAATACTCTCTGTTTGGACTCACCAAGACTGAAGAGGACCAGGAATTTCAGGCAGACAAACTCCCGTTGGTCCATTTGCAAAGAACGCAATTTAGCCACCAGGTCCTGGGCGTGGCTCAAGAGATTATTGAGGGTGGCCCCGGCCTGCGATGCGATCACTGCATAGTCTACCTGCAAAAAGAAAGACAACGTGATTTGAATTGATGTGTGGGTTTTCGGCAAGAACTGATAAGAGTAAAACAAGAAGTGGTGCTGTAAAAGCTCCTCTTGCTGGCTGCCTTTATTGTTTCATGTAAGAACTGTCGATAAAACTATTTTGCTTACATTGATTAAAAATGTCAGATAGAAAGATAGACAGATAGATAGATAGAGAGCCACAACACTTGTCTGGGAGGCAAATCCTTAACTGTCACTCACTACAAACAGCAGCACATAAAATGTTTATATTTATTGACACTTCATTATAATAATTGACTGTGCAAGCATTTCCAGGGAAAGGTTGATGTCTGTCTTCCCTACAGTGTGTGTGCTTCCATTTACAAAGTACAATTACAACACAGAGGGAAATTCAAATATATTTTTTGAAAAAGTAGGAGGACTGAAATCGATTGTACTCAGAAAATGTTGAGTGAAAGTCTATGTTTCCTCTTCTGTTTGTAGAGCTGGGAAGCAGCAAGAATTAGTTGTGTCATTAAAAGTCCAGGCTGCGCTACTGAAATCCTAATTATTAGAGTCCAAGGTAACAGAGCCAAAATGGTATAGGCATATTCAGAGTGTAGATGCCAAAGCCATCATATCCCTCTAGGACCAATGATGTAGTTTTATTGTAAGAGTATATGTGCTCCATTTCCTAAAGCACATTTCTTCTGGCCCTTTCTTTTCTTAACTGCTTTTGTGCTTCCTTTTCTTCTTCCCCATTCATAGAAGAGAGAGTTATGGCTCAAGTGAGAGGCAGACGCTGCCGACTTTCCAAAGTGTCAATCAATTTACATAAAATCAACTGTGCATGAAATAACTTCATTGAAGGATTGGACTGTTGATGGTGATGCCTTCGGTTATTGCCTCCTGGCCTGAAGTACAAAGAGAGGGGAAAACACTATCACGCCACTATAGCAGACTTAGCACTAACCCAAGTGACCTGCATATCAATCAGACAATCAATCCTACTTTAGTATTCCTCTTGTAGAGACATGCTGGATAAATAAAAATAAACCGTTATGATTAGAATCCATCCTGAAACACAATGTGACTGATTTGAAGGGTGTTTGTGTTACCAGAGCGTGCAAAGCAAATTGATGCATCTGGTCATAGAACTTTTTTTTCCCTTTCTTTTATAAAACTTTTTGACTTTTTTTTTTTTTTAATTTAAATATTTGTCATTTGAATTTCATGGACACCAGCGGTATTGGACTGTCAACATATCCTTGTCTTCATATTGGAAAATGGTACGATGCTGTGAGGCCTTGCTTTGGCATTCAACAGCTCAGCCCATTTGTCATTTTATCATTTCATGTTTGAGCCTATGACAGGAAAAAGAACTCGCCTCCTTTAAAAACACAGATGCCCCTTTGGTTGATAACCCGAAGAATGACATTGCATTCATGTTCACTTTGGTTTGAGTTTAAGTGCGCTGAACCGTGAAAGTTGGCGCAACTTGAGTTTCGTGCCATGCACGCTTCATTTAGCATGTATAGTAATTTGGCACACGATCCTGCGCCATGCTGGGCGTTCCGGTGCATCAAGGGCATTTTCTTTTAAATGCCGCTGGCAGAGCTGATCAGTTGGTGGCTGAAAGTAGACTAATTTTTGCGCCTGCAAGAACCAGGTCCGAGTTTTGGTGCAGGTGGTAAATTTGATCGAGGTGCAGGCAGACAGATTCTGAGCTCCGCGGACGTGTGTGGTGGACGTCATAATTTTTTATTCATAAATATGACATCAGCATGCATCATGTCCTTTTGAATCATTGTTCAAATCAATTCATTGAACGTATCATTACGATTATCATCGTTATTACATTTTTAAACTCACATCCCTTGCCACAGCATAGCTATTGGAGGGGTTTGGGGACGGTCTGTAATTGAATTTGGAATGTGGTCTTGAAGTGCCCACTTCACAGCGGTGATCTGTGATTGCCCTGGCCAACCTTATGTGATTTTGGCCCATGGATGTCTGCAGTTCCTTTACAAACGTACTTTGCAAGCTTCATTCAACCTCCTGTAAGCCAAAATCTGTTTTTTTCCTCCGCCATCTCTGGAAGGACTGTGCACCGATTTTAAGTGGCTGTGAAGCAAGTCAGCTCTGTTCACGCCCACAACGGCACAAAACGCCTGTTTCTAACAGTACCAAGCTACATGCATCTGTCCATCCATTTTCCACCGCTTATCCGGGGTCGGGTCACGGGGGCAGCAGCTTTAGGAGGGAAGCCCAGACTTCCCTCTCCCCAGCCACTTCTTCGAGCTCTTCCTGGCGGATCCCGAGGCGTTCCCATGCCAGCCGGGTGACATAGTCTCTCCAGCGTGTCCTGGGTCGTCCTCGGGGTCTCCTGCCAGTGGGACATGCCCGGAACACCTCACCAGGGAGGCGTCCAGGAGGCATCCTAATTAGATGCACATGCATCTGTGAAAATACCAAATCACTCTGGTGATAGGGCACTGCTGTCATTTCTTGCCAGGGAGAGAATCATATGAGATAATGAATTCATTCAAATCTTTCACGCACACACAAAAACGCATACCTCCTCCAATAGCAGGTTAACATTGACCAAGGTATGCAAATGAAATGGCCACCCTGCAACTCCAACGACTACCAATCTCTCGTCCTCCTTATCCTAATGGATGCAATCTCTTTAAACTGTGTCAACATCTTCACCTCATCATTACTTCTCAAGTCATTGCTCCTGCTACATTCGGCTTTCCATGTTCTCCTCTTGCTTAAACAATGGTCCTTATATAATCTTTTATAACCGATGCTTGTAGGTTGAAGAGATTGATCTTTTTCGGGCTCTGCTTTGCAAAAACTCACCTGCTGGCCAGTGACCAATAAAATGGAGCCCTCCTTGGCGTGCACCACTTGCCTAAAGACATGGTCCAGGATGAGGAGTTCACTCCAACAGTTCTGCAGAAGCTTCATCTGATCGTCAACCTGGTTAGGAATATTAACAAAAGCCCATCAGTTTCCAGTACAAACATTATTTAGTCTTTTGGGAGTAGTCCCATAATTTTAGAAGAAAAAGAACGTTTAAGCATACTGTATCCCAATCAGCTGTTATAGTGAGAGACTTGCTCACAAGTTGCACAGGCCGACTGATATTGATTACTTTCATACTTTTATATTGTTTATTTCAATCTTTCCCAAAAGTCCCCTGCACATGCTCCAGTCCAAAGTGTTCTCATATGAATCTTTCCACATTCCTTTCTGTTGTGTTACTGCGTGCCCCTTTACCAGGTTTTGGTGCAGGTTTCTGTGTTTGCCCCTTTGTCAACAGTTTCTGAGTAATCCCACTGGCTCCAATGATTAAAACATTTACGCCTGCTGAATTGCAGGCGCTGGCTCCCATGGACCTGCAAGGTGAGCTTTGGAAGCAGGTCAGGTCAAACAGTGCCCCAAAACAACATCTTCCTTTGTAACAGCCAGCCTCTTCCCATGCCTGGCCATGTTAATCATTACACCACAATTGAGAGACTCAAACAAAAAAGTCCGTATTGGGGAAAAAAAGGAATGAGGAAAATGTCTGTCTTTTTTTTTTTTTTTTTGCATCAACAAACATTCCCATATGTTATATCATTAGAAATAATGTCCCCTTGGGTGAAGTTATTCTTTGTCAGTAGTTTGTCTTTGACAACAGTATGTGAGAACTTGATCTTCATTAGTATCAATGACAGTGAGAATGGTGAGGAATTTGGATCAATGTTAAAGGCTGGCCAAAGAAGCAGGTGCAAGTATGGGTACCATGAAAAGGAATGTGTTATTGTCCCTGTGTGATGAGAAAATTGCACAGGGATCAAAATGTTGAACTGACTTTGGTTGCATTTGTAAGGCAGCAAATATTTTATCATCTTGGCGAAATAAAACATCACTGTAAGACTGCCAACTCTGGAGTCTAATGTTGATTATGGTTGATGACTAGTTAGCACATCCAACTCAGAGGATAGAGGTTCAGCCTTCTCGTGTAGAGTTTGCATGTTATCCATGTGCCTGTGTAGGTTTTCTTCGGGTGCTCTGGTTTCCTCCCACATTCCAAAAACATGCAAAGGGAGTTCATGGAGCACTCTAAATTTTCCTTAGGTGTGATTGTGAGTGTAAATGGTTCTTCATCTGTATGTGCTGGCAACCAATCCACGGTATTACTCAACTCCTTGATCAAAGTTTTTGAATGGATGTGAATGCAAGTGTGATTGTGTCAGTCCTGTGATTGACAAGTGATCAGTCTGGGCTATATTGGGCCTCTTCTTCTCAATCAGATAGATAATGCTACATAATATGCTACAGCTTGAATGGAAATTCAATGCAACAACCCTTTATGTACTATTTTATACCTTTATAGAAGATAACAAAAGTTGATGTAGGGCCATTGTTTTTTTTTTTTTTTTTTTTTTTGTCAATTAGGTTTCTGATGACAACTGGTCTTCTCTCCTTTCTATATACATCTGTTCTATGGTCCCATATTGGAGGCATCACTCGCTGAAGACGAAAGCGAAATTCAAATCACTTCATTAAAACTATCAGAGAACATTGAAGACCTTCAAAGTCGGGGTTTCTTTGAGCCACTCGCCGATCCTACTCTCTTTGCCCCTCGAATCCAAAGACCCTGGAAGCTCGTGTAATTGTGTGTGTGTGTGTGTGTGTGTGTGTGTGTGTGTGTGTGTGTGTGTGTGTGTGTGCATGCATGCGTGTGTGTCAAAGGACATATATCGCCCAATATCTTCAAACGCCGCCCCGCTCAACACCAGCACCACTGCCATTGCTTGTCAGAGCTTTTAGCAAGTGTTAGGGTCCCCATCAAAGGGCGTCCTGCCTGCCTGCCTGCCTGGAAGCGTCTCTCTGACAAGAAGCATGGGTCATCAAAGGGAGTGTATGGCAGCGGGTGATAGCAGCCGAGACGAGGGGCAGGGGACACCCGTCTGTAAGAGGGAGACTGGTGACAGACAGCCATAAGAGCGGCAGAGGGGTTGGAGTTCATCTGGCTGACCTTTTGAGGACCAGCCACACAAACTGTTTCCCTGACAAGCTCTTCCTTTTGCTCTGTCAAATGAGCAACATTCATGTCACCCTATCTTCCAATTTCTACTCCCTGCCTCCACACATAATATGAACTCACTGACACTGCATCAGGCACTTTTTTTTTGTATTTCTATGCAGGCGAGTCACATACCGGAACTTTATCTCATGATTGACCGTTTGCCAGTTACTGTTTACAACTCATCTCTCTTTGATTTAATCTGAACATAATAACACAAAGTTCAAATCGCAGTTTGTTTGAGTCCTGCAATAAAGCTTCGAGTACTTGTTTAGTTGCTGAAGTCTTATCTCAAGACGATGGAAAATTTAGACAGGTGTATCTGACTTTGGCGGTCATAAAATGGAATGTTTGCAACCACTGTGTTGCTGTCATGATTACGACGAACACAATTGACTTATCATGTTGGTGTGGCTCTTGGCTCTCATTTTTTCCACATGGCATTTTGAAAAATTAATTACCCACCTACGACTTGTAATTTGAGACCGTGTGAGACTCCTAGCTGATTTAACACACTTAAGGGCAGCAGTTCGGGGCCCAATCTTTTTTCCACCACACATTGTTTTCATGTATTCTAATGGTCTGTCGAAGACGCGGCGCAACAAGGCGGAGATGATCATCCCATCGCCGCCACCACTCGAGTGTAGCTGCTGTTTCAGTGAATGTCAGCAAAGTTAAGCCGGTCGCCGCAACAGTTGTTCATACTATGCGTATGGACTATTACTGCTACTGTACATGGATACCTCTGTTTTGTTTGTTTCTTTATTCTGAATTTAACCCTAGGAAGTGATTGTTGTTGCTGCTCAATTGACTTGGACTTCTCAACTGAAAAAGGTGTTGTTGGCGGCATGCGTCTGCAGAAGTAACACAGACGTACCCTTGGTCTACAACTACCCACAATAAGTGATGTGAGCCCATCGGAGCATTTTGGTCCCGTCAGTGGTTCTTCTACTTTCTTTTGACGGTTGTTTCAGTATTTCATTCTCAGTTTTGCTATTTAATGTGTTTTAATGAGGTGCGAGATGCAGATTTTGACCTGCAAATTGCGATGCAAAGCCACTTATTTCAAGCCCTGAAAATAAAACAAAACAAAACAAAAAAATCCTAAATATACACCCGTCCCTGAATAATACCAAACAAGGACATTGAGCTTCGGTGTTCACATTGCAAAATTAAGCTCCAGAAAGATAGCTTCAAACTAACCTCAACACCCAAATTGAATGCATTACTTTCTTAGGCTTGGTTTATTCAACATTTTTATCTAAGGTAGGATGTTTGAAAATGCAAGCACTGACTCCTACATGCATGGACCAGCAATAAAAAAAAAAAAAAAAAAAAATCCTCCAAGAAACCAATTTACCACCTTGATGATCGTTCAGCTGAGTGGGATCAATACTCCAATCAATCGCTTAGCCCATAAGTTTTGTTCAAACCACTGGCTAGGATTAATGGGATTTTCAAGATGTGGAAAAAGAAAGGGGAGGAAGTGAGAGAGCGAATGAACCTGACTGGGAATGGAAGAATGGGAAAATAAGTGAGGGGAAATGGCCCAAAAAGAAAAAAAAAAGGTGATTCGGAGCAGACGTTGCTGTGCAGATTAAACCAAATTAAAATTGGCACATTCAAATACTCCCTGAAACACGTCATGTTTATTCATAGCCCCCTGCCAAGAGTAGAGCAATTATCACGGGGTGCTAAGTCAAAACAGGCCAGGGTGATAGAAACTTAGCCCCTTTCTTGTGCCCTGGTCTTGGTACCGTGCCACGTGCATTGTTGAGCGGCGTACGGCGCGGCCACTTTTAACGAGTGGACACAGCTGGATCTGATTTTAATAAGTGCTTCCATTTTTGATGTGGACTAATGAAGAGATTAATGGAATCTCCTTCTGTGGATGTTAATGAATGGCGAGAATCAGGATATTTTTTTTTTCACATAGGGAGGGGTAGCATTTGGAGACCTAAGAGCTAATCTGCCTGAAATTCGCATGAACAATAAGCGGCGCTTCTCTCTCTCTTCTGGACGGGAATCAATGTGTACTACAGGTGAGGTTTGAAGCTGACTTCAATGCTGCTGTGTGTCGAGCTGCTCATCCTTTGGTGCTGTCCTATCTTAGCATCTGTTCGCCTTGAGCCAAACAGTCCCCGTATTCACCTGGGAACGCGCATTAATTTACCTAGAAATGCTGCCCTTTGTTTTCTGAGTGTTGCAAACACTTAATGATGTCGTGCCTGTGCGCTCACTTCCAGTTTGGCCATTTAATTAACACGTTCGAGACACTGGTTCAAACCAAGAAAGATAATACAAGACCCATTTCCTCATGGATTTTTCAAAATAGTTTGTGACTATGATTCAAAGTTATACCGTCATGGCCAGAAGTGTGGTGGCCATTGGGAATTTCGGGAGATTCCTTAACGGCCAATCCATTTCAGGGAATTTTGTTAGTTACTATAAGTTATCACGATTTTTGCTTAGCCATTAGCTAGGTGAATTTATGCAAGTTTACAGCTATTAAAGGGTCCATTTGAAGCACCCACTTAAGTAACTGACGTTTTTCAGTTTTTCAAAGACACAAACGCAGGAGTTCTATATGTCCCTGGGAAGAACAGCAACGGTTGTGATGAAATCCACCCCGGATTTCTGCTGAAATGGAGAGAAATGATTACTTTTGCCCCCTCCTCCTTGTCCTAATTTCCCCAAAACAAACTCTTCTTGAAAAAGGCATACAGTCCATTTGGTGCTCGATCCCACCGCTGTTGGAGTGATAAGAAAGCTGGGAAAATGCGCAGGTGGCACCTGTCAGGGCAGGGGCGGGAGTAAAGGCCAGCACCAAAGCCTGGTTTGCAGTTGAGAAAAATGAAAATATGGATGAAAATACACTGAGCAATCAAGGAAGACAAAATATGTC